TGGATAATATATTTAGTGTCAATGTTAAAAATGACAAATTACATTAGAAAACAAATCATGTGAAATTAACGTGAAACACAAACAATGTTTATCATTATCAATGATAAAGGTCACACAAATCATGTGAAAGATGAAAGATGTTTTTTTTAAGTATTTTTTAATAATTAACAACTGTAATAATTTTCATTTGCTGTTGCTACATTACATGTACGCTATGATATTGAGGTTGATGAAAATCAAGAGAAGGCAGCTAATACTATCTAACTTCTATCAGCTTTTTTTTTTTTTTTTTTTTGTACTGTTAGTTTTTTTTTTTTATATATATACATTAGAATATAAAGACAGTTTGTCTCCTTTCAGTCAATTTCTTGTACATTGCACACTTCTCACTGGATTTGTTGGTGTGTTCATTAAAACGTCTAAAATACAAAGCACTTCAAATTTAAACTGTCAGTCTGTTTACTTAAATATTAGTGTGCAGTTACAGTTCCCTAGCAGGGCTGTCGCTAGAGGGACGAAAGGGGGTGAAGATTCTAGGGGCCCCTGGGCCCCCTCGCGATTTCAACCAAGGGGGAACCACAACCTAAACTATCAGCCTCCACCCTCCCTGCTCCCTAGTGTTATTATTTGCCAAGGTAGAAGATACTTTTATAGAGTATGTGTTTAATGGTGTACGACGTTAAAAATCTTTTATTTATTTTTTGTATGTCGTACACCCCTCACATTTCATCAAATAATTTAGTATATCTTCTCAAGGGACAATACTATAGAAATGAAACTTGGATATATTTTAAAGTTGTCATTGTGCTGCTTGTATAGCAGTATATATTTACTGTCCTCTGAAAATAACTCAACATAAAGCCTTAATGTCAAAATAGCTGGCAACAAAAGTGACTATGTCAAAACTGTGTGCAAAGTGTCAATATTTTGTGTGAGCACCATTGTTATCTGGCACTGCCTTAATCCTCCTAGGCATGGAGTTCACATGGAGCTGCACAGGTTCTGGGATCCTCTTCCACTTCTCCATAATCACATAACAGAGCTGCTGGATGTTAGACACATGGCGCTTCTCCACCTTCCTCTTGAGGACGCCCCACAGGTGCTCAATAGGTTTCAGGTCTGGAGAAATACTTGGCCACTTCATCTCCTTCACCTTCAGCTTCCTCAGCAAGGCAGTTGTCATCTTGGCGGTGTGTTTGGTCGTTATCATGCACCGTTTCTGAAGGGAGGGCATCATGTTCTGCTTCAGAAGGTCACAGTACATGTTTCCCTCAATGAAGCGCAGCTCCCCAGTACCAGCAACACTCATGCAGCCCCGGACCATGATGCTACCACCACCATGCTTGACTGTAGGCAAGACACAATCTTCTTGGTACTCCTTACCAGGGCATCGCCACACATGCTGGACACCATCTGAGCCAAACAAGTGTATCTTAGTCTCATCAGACCACGGGACATGGTTCCAGTAATTCATGCTCTTGGACAGGTTGTCTTCAGCAAACTGTTCGTGGGCTTTCTTGTGATCCAGCTTCAGAAGAGGCTTCCTTCTGGGACGACGGCCATGCAAACCGACTTGATGTAGTGTGCGGCGTATGGTCTGAGCACTGACAAGCTGACCTTCCGCTTCTGCAACCTCTAAAGCAATGCTGGCAGCACTCATGTGTCTGTTTTTTGAAGCCAGCTTCTGCACCTGATGCACTGCACGAGGACTCAACTTCTTTGATTGACCCTTGCGAGGCCTGTTCCGAGTGGAACCCGTCTTGGAAAACCTCTGTATGACCCTGGCCTGTACTGTAACTCAGTTTCAGGGTGTTACCCATCTTCTTATAGCCTAGGTCATCTTTGTGGAGAGCAACAATTCTAATTCTCAAATCATTAGAGAGGTCTTTGCCATGAGGTGTCATGTTGAACATCCAGTGGTCAGTATGAGAGAATTGTACTCAAAGCACAAATTTGAACTCTAATACAAGATACAACAATTTGTATGGTCCTGTCAAGCAGACAAAAACATGAAAATGATGAATAGGACATGTGGCTTTGCATGGTTAAAAGATGTACAGCTATTATCACTTAGGGTGTAGTCACTTTTGTTGCCAGATATTTTGACAATAATGGCTGTATGTTGAGTTATTTTCAGAGGACAGTAAATGTATTCTGCTACACAAGCAGCACAATGACTACTCTAAAATATATCCAGCAAGTTTCATTTCTATAGTATTGTCCATTGAGAAGACATACTAAAATGTTTGCTGAAGTGTGAGGGGTGGACTCTCTGTATATACTGTATATACAGTATAGATAGATAGATAGATAGATAGATAGATAGATAGATAGATAGATAGATAGATAGATAGATAGATAGATAGATAGATAGATAGATAGATAGATAGATAGATAAAAATAATAACCATGATCAATTCAGTGATCTTAGACCAATATAAAAGGAGCATCTCCACCATTGTGAGCAACTGTACTAAGGTGCAATCACACCTACATTCTTCTCAAATTCACTGAGGATGACTCTGTTGATTTGGCTTGTTTTGTGAATCTAGTTCCAGCTCTCTGCAGCGGATTTAGGCTGTTCCAGTTCTGGTTTATGTGAGCGGTGTGCATTGATCACTCCTTTGAGTCGGAACTTCCCATAGCTGAATGTTCTCATTTGCTTTGTGCGTCTTTAATCTGCTCTTTTTGACTGCTAGATTAGTGCTAGATGTTGGACTACTGATATTCAAAAATATTGTCGACCTGGTAAGTCCATAGAGGTGTTTCTGTGAATGTATCAATTTGAGCTCAGGTCATGTGCCTTTCATCTGAGACAACTGAAACATCCACTCACAAACAACAAACAGACCGATAAAGCACTGCACAAATGTCCTACTGTAACATGATACTGTGTAAACGAACACACACACTTTTTCAAATCAGACCTGTATATCACCTCTAAACAACTGTGATTCCCAAAAGAGGAACCCAAGGAGATTCCATACACTGAACAAAATGTTGTGTTTTCATGTTTTAAGGGACTTTCCATAGACATGATGATTTTTATACTGTACAAACTGGATATTCTATTCTCATACACTAACCCCACCCCTAAACCTACTCATCACAGACAACTTTCTGCATTTTCACATTTTCAAAAAACATCATAATGGATTCTGCATAATGGATTTAAACTGGAAGCAAAACCAAAGTTCTCCAAAATATTTAATAAACAAGCACACAAAGGCAGAAGTTCAGAACTGATGCTGGGAAATCTGAGATTCCTGAGGACGTCTTCAGGTGCAGATTCCGTGTGGATCTGGTCACGGCTGATAGACAGAAAATGAAAAGATTCCCTCTTTCACACAGACATACACATCAACCCATGCAAAAATTCACTCACAGAGCATTCTGTTTACAACGGTTCACAATAATAAATCATATTTAGGGAATTCAAGTGGGAGGTAAGAGAGAGAGAGAGAGAGAGAGAGAGAGAGAGAGAGAGAGAGAGAGAGAGAGAGAGAGAGAGAGAGAGAGAGAGAGAGAGAGAGAGAGAGAGACTGAAAGAAGGAAAGAGAGGTAACAGGAATTTGTTGTGGAGAATGATGGCAGGAAATGCTATATCCTCTCCCACATAATCACTGAGACACACAGTCCTCCCCGGCCCTGTGTTAATAATTCAGCACTTAAATACCAGTAAAACACTCACACACATGTGGGAGTGAATCGCTTCCTCTGTCCCTGCTCTAGAATAAAGGAAAGCACCGTCTGACAAGGGAAAAGCATTCTTTCCTCAGGGTGCTTTCAGCAGTGCCTACAGAGCTCAGTTGTCATTAGCAAAACAAATCTGCTCGGTCCTTCAAGTGCCCGCCTGGAGTCTCTCACAAACACGCTGCATGCCCATTCCAGGCCTCAAGAAGCACAAAAGCCATAAAAGCATAAAGAAAACAACATATTTCTATTCTGTTTCCCCATTACATTTGACAGTGTCACCTCGAAGAGTGTATGATGCTCACAGCGATGGCACTTTTGATAACTTAGAAAACAATCAGACGTCATCCACAGAAAGCCAGATTAAGTGATGAAGGCAAACAGACAATGCAAGAATGAGTTATGATTCTTCCCGGTATGGAAGTTGTCTGTACTCCCTGTACTTTGCCAATAATGAACCTGTGGAGTTGCACAATGCCCATTTTGTCTGAAGAGGGCTCAGACTTTTCAATTTTTCTAAATCTGTGAACTGAGATGAGATCCACTGTTGATTTGACCGTGCCGCTTTGGTAAAGCACAAGCAGCAACTGTCTCTTTTTATAGGGCAGAGGTTCAACTGTTCTGATAGGACCCGGATAGGAACACAAATAATAAAATGCAATTGATAAAATAATCAAATAAAAAACAGTTTGTGGGTCCGGTCAAATTATATTGTCTCTTGGAATTTAAATTTAACTTAATGACATGAGCAGGTCGCATACTCATCCACGAAAATTTGCAAAGTAAAAGAAAATACAATACAGACAATATTAAATCCGTTTGGGTCACTACATAAAATATGATTTCAGAATCACTGTTTTTAGAAATTATTGGACACAAATGGGTGCTCGTGCACAGAGCAGATGTCTTCAGAATCAGAATGCGCATTTATTGGCCAATGATTTGCTCTTATTACTTAATGGTTTACTCCAAAGGACAACATAAGCCAAATACAACATACATTTCAACACAACCTGAGGGTGACATGACCACGGGGCCACCAGAGATGGCACCGGGTGCTCCGTCCACCTTGGCACACTATCTATGCTGGCAAAGACACGCAGCCTAGAGGAGCGAGTCGGGATGTAGACAGACAAGGATGGAGCTCTTTCCATCTGTTCCCAAAGCATCACCAAGCATGAGAGCCACAATAAGAGTAACATCCATTCCAAGAAAACAGAGACTATAGATGAAAATGAGCACTGACTGCTTTGCTGCGCTCATGGTCTCTAAGAGAAGTTCTGGATATTAGATGTAATGCATCTTACCTCCAGACCTGTCCGATCTGCAAGATGTGAATGACGGACTGGAAGAGCCACATGCACACTCTGCAGCATTTCCGCGTGCCGTTCGCAGGCAGGGATATCCGCCGGTCGCTGTCCTTGGTGCTGAAATCGCATCCGTCCCCAGTCGGGGACGCGCTCATCTCCGAGTAATCGTACACGAACCACCTGAAACTTAACACCTGAACCACCGCGGAGGGAACCACCACAAACACTAACGTGAGCCCGAACCACCAATACTCCCGCCTCAAGTAGTAGTCCGCTGCCAGCCACAGGTCGGTGGCTCCGTCGGAGAAGAAGACCAGGAGGGCGCACAGCACCCAGCAGCAGTCCAGCAGCGAGAAGCGCTTCTCGGCGTGAGGGTGCAGAGGAGCCGCGCTCTGCTCAGGGCCAAGCAGACACCGTGAAGCGCTCTCACACACGGCTGCTCCATCCGATTTAGCGGCCATGTTTGTTGTAGAAAGAGAGTGGGCAAAGGAAAGCGAAGTACAATGAGAGGGGAGGGGGATATGGTGTGTGTGTGCTAGAGAGTGTGAGCGAAAGCTCATGGGAGAGTTGGGAGAGAGGGAGAGAAAGAGCGAGAGCAGAGAGAGATAGAGGGGGAGAGGGGGAGGGGGGAGTGGGGTGTTACGGACAGACCTCGGGGATATAATTGGTTTGTGCTGGGATACAATCAGCCTTGTTTCACAAACATTTCGTTGGAAGGAAACAAACTACAAAGATATGCAGCGTCTTGTGAAACGTTTATTATTATTATATAAACGACCAACAGCTGTGAAAATGCAGATTTTACCTAAGTTAAATGAAAATGAATGATCCAACCATATTTAACCTAAACTTAGTGAATAATTGGCTTTAACGCTAAATGTTTTTTTTTTTTTTTTTTTTTTTTTTTTTATCTGACATTCCAGGATTTCCTTATTCTTCCTTAAAGGATTAATAAAAATAAAATAAAATAAACATAGTCTAATACTGCACAATGGGAAAAATTATGTAGAGATTTATATTTAGGAAGAAGACAGTAAATAGAAAGTAATTTAAAGGGATAGTTCACCCAAAAATGAAAATTCTGTCATAATTACCCTCATGTTGTTCCAAACATGAGGGTAACACCAAACACTCACCCTCATGTTGTTCCAAACCTATGTGAGTTTATTATCTGAATGAGATATTTTGCTGAATGGTGGTAACCAGACAGTTGACGGCACACATTGACTTCCATAGTAGTTTACCAACATTCTTTGAAATATCTTCTTTTGTGTCCAGCAGAAGAAAGAAACTCATATGGGTTTGGAGCAACACAAGGGTGAGTAAATGATGACAGAATTTTCATTTTTGGGAACTATCCCTTAAAGGGGCTATTAGGATTCGGAAAACCTTATTATATACATCTGACTATGTGAGACTATTTGAATTAATGCCATTTCTTTGCAGTAAAGAAATGCAGCTAATATCCTGTTTGTCATTTTCTGACCCAGTTATGCATTCTAGGGGGAAAAGTTAACTACTTTAGGGTAAAAAAAAGTATTTTAGCTGGTTGTTAATAAATCTCTACAGTCATAATTAAAAAGTGCAGTTTTAATAATTGCTCTTGAAATTACTGATGAATAATTCATTAATTTAGAGCTGTTCATTTGTGACGTCATTTGTTGGCCAACCTGGAAGGCTAATTCTCCATGGGTGCCCTCGAAGAAACAAAAAGATATTCAATTTTTACAAGCACACTCTTTAAATAATTCTTATACTATTGGTCATACCTTCCCCTAACAGTTGAAATTGTATTGTTTGTTTTGATTTTAGATGATAGATAGATAGATAGATAGATAGATAGATAGATAGATAGATAGATAGATAGATAGATAGATAGATAGATAGATAGATAGAGATAAAGATAGAAAGATATATAGATAGAAAGATAGATAGATAGATAGATAGATAGATAGATAGATAGATAGATAGATAGATAGATAGATAGATAGATAGATAGATAGATAGATAGATAGATAGATAGATAGATAGATAGATAAGAGTCGTCCAGAGAGGTGGAGCTGGACGTTAGTTAGATCTGCAGTGAGCACCGGTTGGTTAAAACTAGCCCATCCATCGCAGCTTATTTAATACACTGTATATTTTCCATGTGCTCTCAGGTCCATAAATGTAGAATGATAGCACTCGTGCTTTTGTGGTGAATGATTGTAAATAGTTTATTGATTAGTGGGGAGGACGCACAAACTCTCTCTCTCTGCATGTTACCACCCCCCTCGATAGTAAATCTAATATACCATCCCTAATGCTCAAGCAATTTTGGTTGATGTTGACTCACACTTGGTCAAATTAAATTTGACCATTTCCATATTATCGACTGACACGACAGTCATGGTGACCAGAACGTCTTTTGGACAAAAGCCTATTCAAAGTCTTCTGGAAGACATAGCTTAATATGACAGCTTAGTCTGAGTAAAAGATCCAGGGTTGCCAAATCTGTGTGCCCAGTAAACAAAATCCCTTGGTGGGGGATTTATTTGAAAATTAAAACGGTGGGGGGCTATTTACAGTTTTAGGATCTTGTTCTGATGCTAATTTTCTCCATCTTACAACATTTTAAAGTAAGCCAATTGTGCAGGAAAACCACAGACTTGGCATCCCTGAAAGAATCATAAAACTTTAAACAATAAGAAAATGAATAAGAATAAGAATAAGAAGAATAAATAGTGCACACATTTGCAAAATAAAGAATGGAATTTGAGAGCAGCAATAGGAAGATTTCCAATGAATACTAACTAAAATGCAACCTTTTCCCATTTCATGGGGCTTCAGAAGACTTGGAAGTCATATTGACAACATACACTCACCTAAAGGATTATTAGGAACACCATACTAATACTGTGTTTGACCCCCTTTCGCCTTCAGAACTGCCTTAATTCTACGTGGCATTGATTCAACAAGGTGCTGAAAGTATTCTTTAGAAATGTTGGCCCATATTGATAGGATAGCATCTTGCAGTTGATGGAGATTTGTGGGATTCACATCCAGGGCACGAAGCTCCCGTTCCACCACATCCCAAAGATGCTCTATTGGGTTGAGATCTGGTGACTGTGGGGGCCATTTTAGTACAGTGAACTCATTGTCATGTTCAAGAAACCAATTTGAAATGATTCGAGCTTTGTGACATGGTGCATTATCCTGCTGGAAGTAGCCATCAGGATGGGTACATGGTGGCCATAAAGGGATGGACATGGTCAGAAACAAGGCTCAGGTAGGCCGTGGCATTTAAACGATGCCCAATTGGCACTAAGGGGCCTAAAGTGTGCCAAGAAAACATCCCCCACACCATTACACCACCACCACCAGCCTGCACAGTGGTAACAAGGCATGATGGATCCATGTTCTCATTCTGTTTACGCCAAATTCTGACTCTACCATCTGAATGTCTGAACAGAAATCGAGACTCACCAGGCCAGGCAACATTTTTCCAGTCTTCAACTGTCCAATTTTGGTGAGCTCTTGCAAATTGTAGCCTCTTTTTCCTATTTGTAGTGGAGATGAGTGGTACCCGGTGGGGTCTTCTGCTGTTGTAGCCCATCCGCCTCAAGGTTGTGCGTGTTGTGGCTTCACAAATGCTTTGCTGCATACCTCGGTTGTAACGAGTGGTTATTTGAGTCAAAGTTGCTCTTCTATCAGCTTGAATCAGTCGGCCCATTCTCCTCTGACCTCTAGCATCAACAAGGCATTTTCGCCCACAGGACTGCCGCATACTGGATGTTTTTCCCTTTTCACACCATTCTTTGTAAACCTTAGAAATGGTTGTGCGTGAAAATCCCAGTAACTGAGCAGATTGTGAAATCCCGTCTGGCACCAACAACCATGCCACGCTCAAAATTGCTTGAATCACCTTTCTTTCCCATTCTGACATTCAGTTTGGAGTTCAGGAGATTGTCTTGACCTTGACCAGGACCACACCCCTAAATGCATTGAAGCAACTGCCATGTGATTGGTTGATTAGATAATTGCATTAATGAGAAATTGAACAGGTGTTCCTAATAATCCTTTAGGTGAGTGTATATTGTGCCATTATTGTGCTTTTTGTGCATTTATTTTCATGTTATGGAAAAGAGCTGTGCAAAGATTCTTAAAAAATTCTCCTTTTGTGTTTCACAGATAAGATGACAACATAAATTCTGAACAACATGGTTAACTATCTTTTTGGTTTTTGGATAACTCATTAAATGGCTATTAAAACAAAATGTCCACAGAGAGCTTTACAAAAGAGAAAGGATAGGCCTATGATTTTTGAATTGGTGAAAAATCTTTTTTTATTCAACTTAAAAACCCCTTATCTGACAGAACGGAAGTCCAGAAGCATCGCTCGTGGACCGTAAGAAATGAGCAGCAGACCTAGAGTAATTACACTTATTCCATTAAGTCAATTAGCGTTCTAGCTTGCTTTGGGATTCGTACTGGCAGAGTTGCAGGGTAGGCTCTTTAACTTCCAACAGAGATAAATAACGCTTAGCATTACTGTACAAATCAGATATACGGCATCCACTTTGACAGAGAACAGACTCTGACCCTGGTAGTACAGTCAGAAGGATGCAGTGAAATCAAAGACAAGTTCACAAAAGCTGTGTTAAACTTCAGTCTCCTTCGAGACTGTTGTCCAGTAAATGATAGCTCACCCCAACCCTTTTGTTTCAGAAGACATCATTGTCCTTTTCTGTGTCAGTTAAAGCTTTATGAGTGACTTGACTGCGTCTCTAGCAGACATGCACCAACATCTGTCTGAATAATGGGCTGTTTGGAGCGGTCAGAGTACTTGAGTACATGAGCATTAATTAAAGCTTTTTTAAGGTGTGTCAGTGCTTTCTTATGCTGCTGTTTCCATTGCCAGCAGTTGTGTGATTAGTGCTCTGAGACTTATTGGTGTGTGAAGAACCTGCTGTGAGAAGCCTCACATTTGCACCTTGCTTTCATCTGCTTTTTTTTTTTTACCCCTCTGGCATAATCATATGACCACTGAATCGGACTATATTGGTTCTTGTGTCAGCGGAATTTCAAATTCATCTCCTCAGCTCTTTCCATCATTGTATCGTGGGGTCTCATCATGCTGATCTTCGGAAGTAAAGGCAATGATTGTTATGCTCCGCTATGTGTGTGTGTGCGCGTCTTATTAAATCAAATTCACAAATGTCACTAGCAAACTTTTGTTCTGCAGTACCAAAGCACTATGGTACTGGATTCAAAAGTCAAGCCATATTCAAATCATCTGGAGGATTTCATTACTAAAATGCATATTTTCATCAGGTCATCGGGTCACTGGAAATATAAGTCTTCTTAAGCCAAGCAATAGTGTGTGTGGAATTGAAAATCTTCCTCTCCACTATAACTTTAAAATCTCATTCATGCTATTTCAGACATTTAAAGCATTACAATGTTGTCAATGTCAAATGCAATGTTTGAACAACTACAACATGCAAAGTTTAAATGTATCTTCTTGAATTATATTTTAGAGTGACTTGCAGTAAAGGCATACAGGCAGACAAACCATAAAAATAAAAA